ACTGTGAATCTTTGGTAAAGCGCTTGGCCGGAACTAAACATCTCCTCGCTCACCCAAGACTTTGTTCCCCAAACATGTTCCTTAGAACACCAGTTGCGTAGAACACTCAATTTTTTTAACCAAAAAAAAAAAATGTTTTTCATGTTCACCCCTCTTGCAGAGTCACTGAAATTAAAGCCTGTAAGACGCTATCAGATGAAGAAATCTGTTTCTCCCTGTTGAGGGTTGAATTGTGTTTCCCCCCAAATAGATCTGTTCAATTCCTAACCCCTGGTGCCTGTAAATGTGACCTTATTTGGAAATAGAATATTTGTAGATGTAATCAAGTTAAAATGCGATCATATTGGAGTAGGGTTTTCCCTGCATCCAATGACTAGTGTCCTCGTAAGTGGAGTAAAAAAAAGATAAACACACAGGGAGAATGTCATCGGAAGAAGGAGGCAGAGATTGGAGTGATGCAGCTCCAAGCCAAGGAAATGTCAGGGATCCTGGCAGCCAGGAGAAGCCAGGAGAGGGCATGGAGCACACTCTCCCTCTGAGCCCCAAGAAGGAGCCAGCCCTGCTGACACTTTGATTTTGGACTCCCACCCTACAGAAGTATAAGGGAATACATTTCTCTTGTTTTAAGCCACTTAGTTTATGGTCCTTTGTTGTGGCAGCCCTAGGACACGGATACCCTCCTTTGTTAATACAGCAGATCCTTGAATAACACCATTTTGTGCAAGATTGTTTCATTATAACATTGATGAGGCTGATGCCTATAATCCCAAAACTCTGGGAGGCCAAGGCAGGAGGATCACTTGAGCCCAGGAGTTCAAAACCAGTCTGAGCAACATAGTGAGACCCTGTTTCTACAAAAAATTTAAAAATTAGCTGGGCGTGGTGGTGCACACCTGTGATCCCAGCCACCCATGAGGCTGAGATGGGAGGATCACTTGAGCCTGAATAGTCGAGGCTGCAGTGAGCCATGCTCACACCACTGCACTCCAGGGTGTGTAAGACCTCATCTCAAAAAAAAAAAAAAAAAAAAAAAAAAATCCATTTGAGGTCAGGGCCACCATCTGCATGGATTTCTTCCAGACACTCTGGTTTCCTCCCACATCCCAAAGCTGTGCAGGTGAGGTTCATTTGTGAGCCTCCAGTCCAAGTGACTGTGGGTGTGCGTGAGTGTGCCCTGCAATGGAATGGTCCTGTCTCCTGTCCAGAGCTGATTCCTGCCTTGCGCCGGGATAGGCTCTGGCCACCTGCAACCCTGAACTAGAATAAGCAGGAGTGTTTATCTTGTTTTTATTAATCTTTGTTTCCTTTTTTTTTTTTTTTCCTTTGAGACAGGGTCTCACTCTGTGGCCCAGGCTGGAGTGCAGTGGCACAATCTCAGGTCACTGCAGCCTTGACCCCTACCCCCAGGCTTAAGCAATTTTTCAACCTCAGCCTCCCAAGTAGCTGGGACTACAGGCGTGCACCACCATGTCTGGCTAAGTTTTGAATTTTTTTGTAGAGACGGGGTTTCACCATATTGCCTAGGCTGGTCTCAAACTCCTGAGCTCAAGTGATTCGCCCTTCTCAACCTCCCAAGGTGCTAGAATTACAGGTGTGAGTCGCCATGCCCAGCCTAATCTTTCTTAAATGTATGCATAGCTTACATTTATTTCAATGTTTAATATTAGAAGTGTTTTGGTCTTTATTTAGAAGTTTGCTGATGTTTTGTGACCAGAAATATGCCATAGGAGCTTAACTCTTGTTTATATCAATTAGTCTATGGTAAAATTGATTACATGATACATCCTTTTGCTTAAAATCGCAGTCTCCAAAAACCTATCAATGATAAAAGTGAGGACTTACTACATAGTATTTCCAAACTAATTTGACTCTGAAAACCTTTTTTCTTACGTATTTATTGACACTCAGGAAACACAATTTGGGAAACTGGCTTAGGAAAAAGGTTGGAAGTCCATCCAACTTACAAAGGCTAACCAGGAATGTTAGTAGAAGGATTTTTAGGTTGCATTGCCCCCATTTCCCTACCCCTTACCCCTCTCTGGGGAGCTGGTTCTGGATGGATTGACATTTACTTAGCAGAGAAAACAATCAAAATTCTAGTTTCCCTTTCATCCAGTTTTTTCACCACCAGGAAACTATGCAGGAAATGGCTTAAAATTAGGGGCAAACCCCCACGGCAACACCAAAGCATAATTTAGAGGCAGGGTTAATGACTCTCACAATCTTCACCATCTCCCAAATAAACAGACATAATTTAAATAAAAATACCATCCTGCTTTGCAAATGCAGTCATGTATCAATGACAGGGCTACATTCTGAGAAACGCATCGTTAGACGATTCCACTGTTGTGGGGATATCATAAAATGTACTCACACCAACCCTAGATCCAATAGTCTGTTACGCACCTAGGCCATATGGTATATATAACCCCTTGCTCCTAGGCTACAAACCTGTATGGCATGTTACTCAACTGAATACCATAGGCAGTTGTGACACAATAGCATTTGTTCATCTAAATATAGAAAAGATACAGTCAAAACATTTATCAGTAAAATGTCTTCTAGTCAGGCGCCATGGCTCATGCCTGTAATCCCAGAATTTTGGGAGGCCGATGTGGGTGGGTTCCCCGAGGTTGGGAGTTTCAGACCAGCCTGACCAACATGGAGAAACCCCATCTCTACTAAAAATACAAAATTAGCCAGGTGCAACAAGAACAAAATTTTATCTCAAAAAAAAAAAAAAAAGTCTTCTAATAATTGTTAAAAAAAAATCAGCAAAAAAAGAAAGAAACAAAGAAAAAAAGATACAGTGAATATGGACCATCATAGGTGCAGTCTAAAGTTAATCAAATGTTGTTATGTGTTGCATGGCTGTACCATTTCAAGGCAGGTTCTCCAGCCCCACCCTATCCACCAGGTTGCCATCCATAAGCCCCGCCTTCCCGTTTAGAAATTCCTCAACCAGCATTGGGAAAAGCTAATGTCCTAGTGTCAAGTTGCTACAAAATGAATTCCAAGCATACTAAATCCAGATAATTCATGTTGTATTGCTAAAAACATCACCTAAATTGGCTTGAGTTCCATCCACTGACAATTCCTTATGGTGGATTCAATTGTGGTTTTAGAGGTCTTTCTCAGGGGTTCACCTTTGTGGGTGTTACCAAGGGAGTCCCTGTGCCCTGAAGTGGTGAAGTGTTCCCAAGGAGAATTTGCTTGTGCTCAGGCCCTGAGGTTCAAGGGTCTTTTTGAGCTCCTTGCTCAGTTTGGGATGGATATTCCAATTGCATAATTTACATCTAGACCCTGCATCTACATGGCACAGGCTTGGGATACACATTTCTCACAGGGGACTTTAGTTTTCACGTGCATATATCCAGACCCCCAAATTTATATGCCCAACTACACCCTAGACAGTTCCGCCAGTGTCACAGGGTCCTCAGTGTCAACTTGCCTGAAATTGATCTCCTCCCCAAAAAATCTACTTCCCCAGCATTCCTTATTTCGGTGAATAGCACAGGGCTGCTGTGTACGGTTGTGTAAAGAGTTCACTGCACAACAAGAACATGAGGGTTTAAATCCAGCTTGCACACAGCTCACCAAGCTATGCAGCCACAGGTCTGTGTCCACCAAGAGGGCGTCATTCTCTAGTTGTACAAAGATGCTACATGGGTTCCAGACGGCCCTGGAAACTGCCCCACCATCCACCCTCGTTGCCACTTCTCCTCGTCCATTATGTTTCTCCCACCCATCCCCAAGTCATCCCAGAGTCTTACCATCTTGACCTCCTACTTTGCCCTCAAATCTATCTCCCTTGGGCCACCTCCACTCTAAGTTGCCAGATCTGACAAATAAAAATGCAGAACTCACAGTTAAATGAATTTCAGATAAAGAACAAACAATATTTAGTATAACTATGCCCCTACATCCATTCTGTCTGACAGAATCCCAACTTTTACTCCAGCCCAAACTGTACCCAGACAAAAGAACACGTTTCTAGCCAGACGAGCATACCCTTGCTCACAGCTTTACCACTGGAAGCTGGATCTGTCTGCCACCCCCACACCACATTTGGTGGAGGCAGACACATTTCCTCAGAAAACAAGACATTGGGGTATCTTGGCTGCTTATGTGATATAAGGCTAGGACCCTTCATGCAAACCACAAAATGTTGACTTTTCATGTAAGCATTATAGCCTGGATTTAGGAGCCTCAGTATTGGCTCTCAAGTCAGTAGGTAGTGGCCTCCCCATTCCTGAGGGTAGGATCAGGCCACAGTTCCTCCTGGGGCTCCCCAGCATGGGAAAGACACTGGTCATCTCAAATGAGCTCCCACATCCTTTCCCAGAGCACGCTGCAACCTTGGCCCCTATGCGCCTTAAAAAGGTGCACCATCCCACATAAGGCATGTTGTCCATTTCTCATGGCACGTTCATATCTGCCTCTAGACTTACTAAAGCATGTTGTAGCTGGAGAGGTAATTATATACCCAAGTGCTCTTTCCTGATTTCCGAGGCAGGAAAGAAAAGTCTGTTTAGGCCAGGGGCATGATCTTGAGGGGCTCCAACTCAAAAATACTTCACCCAGTCAAGTTCTGTAAAGTATGTTTACCTGTCTAGATTTTGAGATCCAAATGCCTAAGAAAATAACTAGCCAAACTGGGTGCCTCATATTAGAAATGTGAACAATTAGTGGAATCCTACGGTAAATTCCTAAATTCTTTGTGGAATTTTAGCAGTTTAACATCCTACTGTCTTAATATTTTGGTAACTGGGAGTTCAGAGATCGCTGATTTGAACGTTGGTGCCACTAGCTGAATAATTCAATGTTTCCTCATGTCCACAGAGGTCATTTTCATTTATCCCAGAACCTGAAATTAGAATACCTCTGTACAATGTAAAATTGCACACTAAGAAAGGTACTTGTAAAGTGTCACAGAGTTTATTTCTATGGAACTTCAGTTATTGAAAGTAAGAAATGAACACACATGCACCTCTGTACACACACGTTTATATTTACCAAAGAACCTACAGTGAGGTGAAGGGGATCTTTACATCTAATAGGTTCAACCTCTTTGTAGCTGGAAAGAAGCAAAAGCTGGAACAGCTATGATATGCACATATTTTTCCCATGTGGCCTTTCTCTATGCCTTTGTCTCCCCAACACACACAGACATACTCTTCCTGCCCGAAGTTGGCAGTGGAACTCTACCTGCCAGCTGCTGAGGTGCAGTGGAATAAGGCCTGGCCATCAAGATGTACCCACAGAAAACACCAGATCCAGGGAAAACTGCCCTGATTTTCAGGGGATGCAATGTAGTCCTGCAACTCCAGAAGTTCAATCATCTAACAGTTGTATGGGTTTTTTTTTTACTCATGGTTTCTGCGGCCTGGATTAAAAGAAAAAGAAATCAAATCATATCTACTCTGGTTTAGAGCAGCATCTAGGAATTATATAGACCTCTTTGAAACCTAGAGACTCCAAACCTTCTGAAATTGTATTTTGGTTGTTTTTCGTAATATATTTATAGTGTGAGACTCCCTCCTTCCAAAACACCAGGGTACCTTCTGAGAGTAGTTTCCTTGCCACCTAGATAATCCCATCAGGAAATCTCTGCAGAATCTTTTTTTGTTCTATATTGTATCCTCCATTATTAACCCACCTGGTGGTTGTAGTTGACTTTTTTCTTTTTTAGGGGTGGGGTGTTGTTGTTGACTAGAGGGAAGTAAGACTTTTTTATGTTTAAATAACAGAGGCACAAAAAATTATTGTTTTTTCAGAAGTTAATGTGTTCTGGAAAATCTCTTGGCAGCCTCTCTCTTTTTTAAAAAAATTATTATTATTATTATTATTATTATTATTATTATTATTATTATTATGTTGGGAGTAGAGGTGGGCCTGTGTCCCAGTGGCCAGAGGATCAGCGCAGATGATGCTGATGTTAACCCAAGGAGTGGTCAGGCACAGCAACTGGCGGTAGGCACCATGCTCCCTGCCAGTAAGTCTAGAGGCAGATATGAATGTGCCATGAATGTATTGTGGTGTGTGTTTGTTTTTGAGATGGAGTTTCACTCTTGTCACCCAGGCTGGAGTGCAGTGGCATGATCTTGGCTCACTGCAACCTCTGCCTCCCCATTTCAAGCGATTCTCCTGCCTCTGCCTCCTCAGTAGCTAAGATTACAGGCGCCAACCATCACACGTGGCTAATTTTTGTAATTTTAGTAGAGATGGGGTTTTGCCATGTTGACTAGCCTGGTCTCGAACTCCTGATCTCAAGAGATTTGCCTGCCTTGGCCTCCCAAAGTGCTGGGATTATAGGCGTAAGCCACCACGCCCAGCCAAATGTATTGTGTTCTAACCCTGCTCCATTCACTTTCGCTGTGTCTGGAGACAACATTTTGACCAGGAAATAAATCATGCTCATGTCATAGACACATTGAATCTCAGCATGGGCCCCAATCTCCACTTTAAGGTCTTGGGGAGATCTGCAACCCTCATTAGCCAACCAGTGGGGTTCCCCAGTAGAGAGAGATTGGCTATAAAAATGCGGAGAGTCAGGCTGGGCACGGTTGCTCCCGCCTGTAATCCCAGCACTTTGGAAGGTTGAGGCGGGTGAATCACCTGAGGTCAGGAGTTTGAGACCAGCCTGAACAACATGGAGAAAACCAATCTCTATTAAAAATACAAAATTAGCCAGGTGTGGTGGCACATGCTGGTAATCCTAGGTACTTGTGAGGCTGAGGCAAGAGAATTGCTTGAACCTGGGAGGCAGAGAATGCGGTGAGCCAAGATCGCACCACTGCACTTCAGCCTGGGCAACAAGAGCAAAACTCCATCTCAAAAATAAAAAAATAAATAAGCTGAGAGTCATTAGTTTGATTGTGTCAAAGCCTGATGGTGAGGCAGCTTTTGATTTCACCTTTTCCTCCAAATGTTTGCTTCTTGTCTGATTGACAGAAGGCCCTAAAACTTATGACTGATAGTCACTGAGCTCTCACGCTGCTTGGCTGTGTAGATAGGCAATACTGAAGTGGGGAATGCAGCTACAGGGCAGTTGTATTACTCACCTGCTGTAGATCCAGCCTTCATGTTTTTCTGACATGTACCAAGTTAACATTGGAGAAAAACTCCAAAAGATATTAATAAAATGAAAATGGCTTTACCAAAAGCAATGAAAGTTCACTGCCAGGGTCTAAATGTTTGTCCTACCAACCCCAAATTCATATGTTGAAACCTAATCCCCGAGGTGATGGTGTTAGGAGGTAAGGCCATTGGGAGGCAATTAGATCATGAGCTCATGAATGAGATTAGAGCCCTTGTAAAAAAGACCCCAGAGAACTAGCTCACCACTTCTACCATATAAGGACACAGCAAGAAGGTACTATCTATGAGCCAGAAAGCTGGCCCTCAGCAGACACTGAACCTGCTGGCACCCTGTGCTTGGACTTCCCAGCCTCCAGAGCTGTAAGAAATTAATTTCTATTGTTTATAAGCCATTCTGTTTATGGTATTTTGTTTTAGCAGCCTGAACAGGCTAAGACGCTCACATGATGTCTGTATTTTATGACTGATTTGAGGGCATCCTGATCTATAATTGACTAAAACTGAATGTGGACTAAATATTAATAATATTCGTATCAATGTTAAACTCTGTGAGTTTGCTATTTGTGTTGTGGTTGTTAGACAGCATCCTTGACCTTAGGAGATACATGCTGACGTACGTAGTTATACAGGTGTAAAGGGTTACAATATCTGCCACTGGCTCTCAAAGAGTTCAGCAAAATGGTAATTGTAATATTGTGAGAGAGAGAAAGTTTGAACAAATATTAACAATGGTAGAATCTATGTGAAGGATATACAGGTGTTTGTTGTACAATTCTTGCAACTTTTCTGTAAATGTGAAAGTTTTCAAAATAAAAAGTTTTAAAAAAGCAAAACACAGCATTTTCTCATTGCAGTCAAACTTTGGATTTAGAACAGTCACATGACAAAAACCATCAACTGGAAAAGGCTCGCCAGAGTGCAGTCAGCACATGTTTTGTGGGCCTGTTTATGCTCAGGATTGTCTTGGAAAGTCCAAAGCACCTGTGGATAGAGGCATGGAGTTAAAGGTTTCTTTCCATTACAAAACTAACAATTCTTAACCACCACACTTGACACTCAATGCTTGGCTATGAAAACTGCCCATGAGACCACCTCAGGACAGAAGACACATCCATCCACTCCAGGAGATACTTTGCCTGCCCTCCTTTATGAAGCCTCTCAAGAGCCTGTTATTCTGGACTCCTCCAGTTTTGTTGTTATTGTTGTTGTTGTTGTTGTTGTTGCTGCTGCTGCTGTTTTCGAGACAGAGTCTTGCTCTGTCACCCAGGCTGGAGTGCAGTAGGGCAATCTAGGCTCACTGCAACCTCCACCTCCCAGGTTCAAGTGATTCTCCTGCCTCAGCCTCCTGAGTAGCTGGGATTACAGGCATGCACCACCACATCTGGCTGATTTTTGTATTTTTAGTAGAGGTAAGGTTTCATCATGTTGGTCAGGCTGGTCTTGAACTCCTGACCTCATGATCCACCCACCTCGGCCTCCCAAAGTGCTGGGATTACAGGCGTGAGCCACTGTGCCTGGCCAACTCCTCCAGTTTTTACACTACTCTTTGATGGTTCTTTAACCCACCAGAAAAGAGTAGATTGTGCATTAAGGGCACTGCCGGCTGCCAGTTGTCAAGCTCCTCAACCTCTTGTATCTCATTCTTCAAACTGTTGGCCTTCTCCTTCACCCAGAAAGGCAAGCTGTGGGAAGAAGACAACACCCTGAGTTGCAGTTTGATGCAAAATTTACAAACACCAACAGCAGATAAGGCAATATATGCTCCAAAAGTAAACAGACCTCCAATTTAGACCAGCTTCAAAATAAAATATGTTAGTTGTTCACCATTTGCCCCTGCCTCAAACCCAGCTCTTGTTAAGCCCTTCTCTGCCAAGAGGCTGACCTCGCAGCTGGTATCACCTGGGCTCCTCTGCACTTCCACATTTTTTTTTTCTTTTTTGAGAGAGTGTCTCGCTCCATAGGCCAGGCTGAAATGCAGTGGTGCGATCTCAGCTACTGCAACCTCCCGCTCCTGGGTCAAAGCAATTCTCCTGCCTCAGCCTCCCAAGTAGCTGAAACTACAGGTGCTTGCCACCACACTTGGCTGATTTCTGTGTTTTTAGTAGAGACAGGGTTTTACCGTGTTGGTCATGCCAGTCTCAAACTTCTGACCTCAGGTGATCCACCTGCCTTGGCCTCCCAAAGTGCTGGGATTACAGGTGTGAGCCACCTCACCTGGCCCAGATTTTTATTTTTGTTTTTTTGAGACAAAGTCTCGCTCTGTTGCCCAGGCTGGAGTGCAATCTCACCTCACTGCAACCTCTACCTCCTGGGTTCAAGTGATTCTCCTGCCTCAGCCTCCCAAGTAGCTGGAACTACAGGCGCATGCCACCACACTCAGCTAATTTTTGTATTTTGGTAGAAATGGGGCTTTACCATGTTGATCAGGCTGTTCTTGAACTCCTGACCTCAGGTGATCCTCCCACCACAGCCTCCAAACTGCTGGGATTACAGGCATGAGCCACTGTGCCTCACCCGTGCTTCCACCTTTGAGCTGGGCTTGGCTAATGGCACTGACAGGAGATCAGAAGGTGGGAAGAGATTAGGGCATTTCTTACCTAGCTCCTCCCCTGATGTCCTATCTCCCCAGGTACCCCCCGTTCTGGCAGTGCCACAGCTCCAGTTGGGCAGCCCTTCTCCCAGGGCTCTAGCGCTTCCTGCTCTGCAAACCATGATCCCTCTTGTTGCTGCTCAGACCCAGGAGTAGTAACGCTTCCCACTGTCGTGAGCCTCTGGGTGCTTCATCCTCCCATGTGGGTTCCCCCAACCCTGCCCACACACCCATAAATAGTCCCTCTCCTTAAGCTGACTTCAGAATCCCAGCTGAGTGTGCTTTCTGTTTCCTGCTGGGACCTTGGCTAATGCAGATACCCAGAGTCTTCCCAGAGCCACTGAGACTTAAAAGGGCATTTCTAGGCTGTATGTGTTACAAGAGGTAGTAGGAAGTGTGACTCCGGGATGAGTCGGAGCAGGGAGATGCAGAATGTTTTCAGCTTTTGGAAGCTAGAATTCTCGCACTTTTGGGGAGAAATATACCATAATTGGCAAAATGTCCTGATATAACTGCTGGGGGTAGGGAAGTCCCTGCAAGAATGAAAAGGAGAGTTGCCACATAGGTGATTGGCCAAAGTCAAGGTTATCACTTAAAGCTGACAAGCCAAATAGTAGAAGCCCCAATAAGAAAGGCAGGACTAAAAGCAATGCATACAGATATTAGCATAAAGAACTATTAGAACAAAAACATAAGCATTTCTAAATATCAGAGGAAAGAATTTTTCAACCTTTGTTAAAGCAATTAGAGAAAACACTGAGTCACAGTAAATATAATATAGTACACATGATAAATGTAACAAGTAATATAACAGAACTGAAATAAAATATATCAGTCAAATCAATAAATCCAAGTGGCCGAATTCACCTGAATTAAAGAAAATATTTTCAAGCTAGCTCACAGAGCAAAATCCAAATCTATACTAAAAGGAAAGTGCTTCAAAAGCAAAAGAACGGGCAAAAGTGTATTAGTCAGATGCAAACAAAATAAAGTAAGAATTAGAATCTTAATAACTGGCTAGGTACACTTGAGTACAAAAAGTATTAAATGAGAAAAATAAAGATACTTTTTTTTTCTTGAGATGGAGTTTCGCTCTTGTTGCCCAGGTGGGAGTGCAATGGCACAATCTCAGCTCACCACAACCTCCAGCTCTTAGGTTCAAGTGATTCTCCTATCTCAGCCTCCCGAGTAGCTGGAATTACAGGCATGTGCCACCATGCCTGGCTAATTTTGAATTTTTAGTAGAGACAGGGTTTCTCCATGTTGGTCAGGCTGGTCTCAAACTCCCTACCTCAGGTGATCCCCACACCTCAGCCTCCCAAAGTGCTGGGATTACAGCCATAAAGAGACTTTTATAATGCAAAAAGACACGATGAACAACAACAATGTTGAAACACTAATATTCAGACAACCTAACTCTCACACTAACTCTCAGTCCAAACTAGGCCAAGTGAACAAAAATAAGGAAATACAGGGATTAAACAACATAACCAATAAAGTCAATCTTCTGGGTATGTAGCTAACTTTCCATCCTGATTAAATAGAGTACACTTTATTTTCAGTACATGTGGAAATGTAAAAATACATATTAAGTGACCTAATACAGATGCATTTGTCCTTGGAAGGAAGATATATCACCTGTAATGCCTCATCGAGCACCCAGATCAAATACCACCTCCTCTACAACACGTTCCCAACTTCCCCACATGTCCTCCCTCTATGTACACAGTGTACCACATTTGCTTTCAGTTGTTTTATGAATACTCATCTACTAGTCTCTGCCCCCAATAGACAACGAGCCTTAAAACATGTGTCGTATCTTATTCACCTTTGCGATCCCTGCCTCTATTACCTCACCACCTTCCCATTTCTCCTGTAGATTAAGTGCATAAATGGTATGCAAAGGATATCTGCTAAGTTGAATAAATAATCCATGTAAACATACTGCACATTATAGGGAGCTTTTCAATAAGTAGTCTTACCTCCCTAATTTTCATTCTAATTGTGGCTCTCTCTGTCACTAACTAACTAACCAGAGAAGACTTGGCAACTTTATCTGGTTCTGGTTATCAGGTTTTGTTCTTATTTTAAAGGTGGATTGTTGCATTTGCAGATTTAACATTTTAAATTTCCGAGCACAATAATTATACTATTTAAAGATGTGAATAACTTGATGATGGTAATGGACTAGTACAAAACTGATTCATCAAGTAACTTGGGGGGAAAAACCTACAATTTTTATTCATGGATGATAAATAATAATATTTTTATTCATAGATAATAATTCCAGCCATAATGAAGTAGCAGGGATCAGATTTACTCTCCTGACTTAAACAAGTAGAAAACTGGACAAAATGTATGAAATAACAGTTTTCAGAATGAGACAACAGGCAGCACAGGATTGTGATCCTAAAGAAAAGGAAAACAAAATGAAAAGGAGAGTTCTATAATGACCCAGCTTTTGTCTGGAGGCACATTCGAGACCACAGCGTAGAATGAGCAACCCCACAGAGTATGGCATCCTCTGTAAGTTTGAGGGGCCGAAGATCTGACTTCAAAGAGTCTTGGAGGGCTGGAAGCTGCAGGGCAGAGTTCTGGAGAAGAAGGAACTATACAGAAAAATAAAATGAAGAAACTTACACAGCATTTTCTTTGAGTCTTTGCCTAACATTAAGACACACATGTGTAGGGTAGAACTCTATAAGATCAGACAATAGAGTGACTGGGAACTGAATGGGCTCATGAAGGGCTCACAAAGGCTAAAAATCATTTTATTTTTAAATGATTTTTAAAATCCTACCGACTGAAGTTAAGACTCCTTATCGATCACTCAAGGCATTCAGTAGAGACTCTATAAGGGCAACATCTTACTTAGTAATGAGGTTAAACTATCCCTAAAGACTACATTAGACAGCCCTAACAAAGCTTGAAAACAAGCCTCAAAAGAATCAAATCAAACTGCAAGTGACTTAACCACCTGCTAGAGCAAAGCCTAGCACTCTTTAAAAGAAGACAACAAACTCCAAATACTCAACAATATAAAAGTATAATGTCCAGTATCCAAATAAAAATTACTACACATATCAGGAAGCAGAAAAATGTGACCCATAATCAGGAGAAAAATCAGTCAGTAGAAACACACCCAGAAATGACACAAATAATAGACTTAGCAAACAAAAATCTTTAAACAGCTATTATAACTATGTCCAAGTATTTAAGGAAGACATGAAAATAGGAAAGAAACAACAGATGTAAAAAAGAATCAAATAGAAACCAAAATAAATAATAAAAAATAAAAAAAGAATCAAATAGAATTTCTAAAGATCAAAATACATAATCACTGGATAGGACTAACAGCAAATTAGACACTGCAGGAGAAAATAGAGAATCTAGGAAACAATAAATGCCAAATCCAGCAACAGAAGCCTTTGTCACTTCTGCCATGACTAACTGGTTAGCAGACTTTTTCATCAGGGGACTGTCCCTGAGGAAAGGGTCCAACTCTCCTAATTCTCTTGTTGACCATAGAACAGAAGAATATGCTGATCTACTTCTCTCTCTCCCCCTTTTTTTTTTTTTTTTTTTAATTTGAGACAGGATTTTGCTCTGTCACCTAGGCTAAAGTACATAGCACAATCATAGCTCACTGTAGCCTCAAAATCCTAGACTCCAGAAATCCTCCTGCCTCAGCCTCCCAAGTACCTAAGACTACAGTTGCATGCCACTATATCTGGCTAATTAAAAAAAAAATTGTAGCGATAGGATCTCACTATGTTGCTCATGCTGGTCTCCATCTCTTGGCTTTAAGCAGTACCCTGCCTTGGCCTCCCAAAGTGCTGGGATTACAGGTGTGAGTCACTGTACCCAGCCAGTTTTGAACTTCTTTAAAAAAGATACGAACAAACAAACAAAAAAAACTTAACCTTTCTTTTTAGGAAAACCAGACTAATTGGTATTCTAACGGTTTATACATGTAAAAACATATTTGCATATGAAAGTTAATATACAAAAGCTAAAATAGTTGGGTAGGGTGATTAAATTTAGGCAATTGCTATTATTTGGAATATTCTAGAATAGTGTTTATTAAAAATGTAAAGTATAGACATGAGAAGCCCTAATCGTGTACCATAAGTGACAATGCAACAACAACAAAAAGACATCAAACATCTCAAGTTTGGAATAAAAGGCCTTTATTCACACTGAGCTCCAGAGTTGGTCAGACCCTGGGACACATGCCCACTCATATGAGACTGTTTTGTATTAGAAAGCAAAAAAAGAAAGAAAGAAAGAAAAGAAAATACCTCTTTACAGGTCAGAAACCTACTTAGGTAAATAAGTGAGGTTCAGAATGGAGTGAAGCAAAAGTGTGGAATTAGAGGAGTGATACTTCCCTCAAACCCAGAAGTGCTCTGTTGGCTTTCTTTCTGCCTCTTGAAACTCTAAGCATTCTCCCCAGTTGCAATCATTTAATTATGTGTCTTTCTTTCCCAACAAACTCATGTTCTAGAAATCAGGAGCCCTGCCTTTTTGTTCCACGTGAACTCTCCTACGGTGCACAGCTAGCACAACACGTGGCCTCTGGTAGTTTATCAATTACATCTGTTGATCTGTTGACTATGTGACCATCCCAATTGCCAGACTCTACAGAGTGTCTATCCAAACACCCTTCTTACAAACTGCCCTGCCCTCTTGCTGGGATTCAAAAGGGCCCTGTGTGCTGGTTATCTACTTGTTCCTCCACAGAAGAAAAAAATAAAATAATCGATATTGTGTAAAGAAGGGATAACACAAAACATGGTATGAGAACTCACCTGGGAATTTGTGGAAGAGGCTCAAGTGGAATAAATGTATCAAATTTCTTTTCATAAGGCACTCTGAAAAAACAGAAAAGGCAATCATAAAACTGGCATGTTATCTACAGCAAGAAGATCAATGCATCATTGTATTCAACAGAATGTCCTGTTTTCCAATTTTAATTTTCAAGTATGAACCTCAAAACTGTAAGGACCACAAATTTTATTTTATTTATTTTTTTCAGACAGGGTCTCACTCTGTCCCCAAGGCTGGAGTGCAGTGGCACAATCTCAGCTCACTGAACCCTCAACCTTCCCGGCTGAGGTGATCCTCTCACCTCAGCCTCCCACCTCAGCTGGGATTATAGGTGCACAACACCATGCCCAGCTAATTTTTTGCATTTTTGTAGAGAAGGGGTCTTGCCATGTTGCCCAGGTAGGTCTGGAATGCCTGGGCTCAAGCCATCCTCTAGTCTCAGCCTCCCAAAGTGCTAGGATTACAGGCATGAGCCACCATGCCTTGCCCACAGATTTTATTTTATTTTATTTCATTTGTTTTGAGATGGAGTCTCACTTACTCTGTTGCCCAGGCTAGAGTGAGTGCAGCAGTGCAATCTTGGCTCACTGCTATTTCCGTCTTCCAGGTTCAAGTGATTCTCCTGCCTCAGCCTCCTGAGTAGCTGGGATTACAGGCGTCTGCCACCATGCCCAGCTAATTTTTGCATTTTTCGTAGAGACGGGGATTTTACCATGCTGACCAGGCTGGTCTCGAACTCCTGACCTCAGGTGATCCACCTTGGCCTCCCAAAGTGCTGGAGTTATAAGGGTAAGCTACAGCACCCAGCCCACAGATTTTAGTTTTGGTTATTTTTAGTCGACATCATTATATCTTTACATGGTTGATTTTTTAAATGATATTTTTAATGTAATACACCAACTTTTCTTTTAATGATCCTCCCATTTTTCTCTATCACTTTGGTCTAAGTTTAATTCTAAGTTTAAGTCCACCTACATAGTAGTCACTATAGCCAACGATCTGATTCAGTATGAAAATTTAGAAGTTTTCAAATGTGTGGCAATAGAGATAGGAACAAAATTAACAACGAATTTTTTGTAGTCCAACTCCTGCGTGTAATTTTAATTATACACAGGCATGTGTGCAGACACTAATTGAATACTGAAGATGAGCTTTTCAAGGAATTTTCATCCAAGCATGTCTTGTTGACATGTAACCCTTTTCAAATATAATTTATATGTAGTAGAGAGACACAATCCCTTTAAAGTTAACTAAATAATGCTAGTATTAACTAACATACACTTACATTGAAAAGTTCACTGGTGGGAGTGTTGATCCTGCTTTGTGAAAGCCTTTACTCTGTTCTGGGTACATATATGGATTATCCCCTGGAGTTAGCTTTGGGATTCCATTCCTGGGATCAATATCTACGGAGAAGATTTGAAAACAAGATCATGCAAGGGCTGAAGATGATCCACAGATTTGCTGTAAGTATTGGCATGACAACAGAAATAGGATATTTTAGTATTTTGTTATAAATTACAAAGAAGTTTCTCAACATTCTGTTTGTGAGTATCTTGCCTTAAGGATTTGAAGATAAACATATGAGCCTATGTTTGGGACGTTTTCCAAAACGTGTTGTTATGACTACCCGTCCTGGAAAAGAATTGTTAGATTCAGAAGGAGTGTTTTGGTTTAAAATATAAGGTAAATCAGAGGTCTCTTTGCAATTGATCCAAGAATCTCTGACCTAAAAATCTCTTCATTACTGCGCATTAGTGCACTTTGAATCTCCGAGTCTTAGGAAGCCCAAAAAACAAGTGTCCCTGGGGCTCTCCCTCTCTGACTGGGTCCCTGAAGGAAACCAACTAAGGGTGTCTTGCTCCTCCTTCTGCCTGAGGACTGGGGCCGTGCAACAGTGAGAGATGGCTTCCTGAGAAGAGCAAGATTACTCAGCAGAGGCTCTGACAGCCAGCTCAGCCCCTGCTAAATCCCCAGGAACAAGAAAACTAATCACAGGAATGGAAGGCATCAGCCTAGTGTAGGATGATCATTTAAACCCACACACCTAAAGTCCTTAAAATGGCCTATTTTAAAAACTTAAAATTAAATAAATCAATCCACACGCTTGACACTAGATACATCTCCTAAGAGAACAAGGCTAGACTACAAGGCTCACCCGTCTTGGGCTCAGAAGCAGGGACACATGGCTGGAAACATGACCTCCATCTTTGCCACACACCCGGATTCTTCTAGCTAACTCGGAAAAGCCATCAGCATGACAGGTGGGAGTTCCTGAGTTACAGGAGTATTTAATTTTTTGTCTTTCTCTTTTTTTTTTTTTTTTTTTTTTTTTTTTTTTTTTTTTTTGAGACGGAGTTTCGCTCTTGTTACCCAGGCTGGAGTGCAATGGCACGATCTCGGCTCACCGCAACCTCCGCCTCCTGGGCTCAGGCAATTCTCCTGCCTCTGCCTCCTGAGTAGCTGGGATTACAGGCACGTGCCACCATGCCCAGCTAATTTTTTGTATCTTTAGTAGAGACGGGGTTTCACCATGTTGACCGGGATGGTCTTGATCTCTCGACCTCGTGATCCACCCTCCTCAGCCTCCCAAAGTGCTGGGATTACAGGCTTGAGCCACCACGCCCGGCTTGTCTTTCTCTTTTAAAAACCTTTTCAATAACTGACTGTGTTACACTTTTGATTAGCTCTTCTGTGTAGTGAAATAACATCAACTACACCCTTGCATTGAGTGCCTGCTGGGTATGAGATGCTGAGGATTCAAAGCACAGAGAGTGGAGGTTTAAAATATAGTGAATCCCCTTGAGGCCAGGAGTTCTAGACTAGCCTGGCCAACATAGTGAAACCCCATCTCTACTAAAAATACAAAAATTAGCTGGGTGTGATGGCACACGCTTGTAATCCCAGTTACTTGGAAAGCTGAGACAGGAGAATCGCTTAAACCCAGGAAGGGGAGGTTGCAGTGAGCCAGGATCATGTTACTGCACTCCAGCCTGGGAAACAGAATGAGACTCTGTATAAAAAAAAAAAATTAATTAAATTAAATTAAATGTACGGGGAATCCAAAACCTTTTGAATCCCAAACCAGAGCACTGAGAAGTAAGAGTGGAGTAATAGCAAGGTGTGGTGGGAAGGGTTTGGACTTTGGAGTCAGTCACACCTGAGTACATACTCACTCCTGCAGTTTCTAGTTCTGTGCCCTAGAGCTATTTACTTAACCTTCCTAAGCCTTAGTAACCTCGCTTATAAACTGTTTATTTCAAATGGCTACTTTGCAGAGTTATCATGAATACTAAGATTAATACAAGCATATAACAAGCACTCAAGAAATAGTAGCAATTATTCTTATTTGAATCCAGAACTGAACTAATACACCTCATCTCAATTATTTTTTAATCCAAAAGATATAATTGCTATATAGCTAAGGTATAAACTTCTCTCCAGGAATCTAATCTAGATGGGGAGACAAGATATGTAAAGAAGAAGATAACACTAAAAGGCAGTAAATGCCATATACTCTAGAACAGTGTTCCAACATTTTAGTATGCCTGAAAATCACCTAGGAAACTTGCTTAAAATGCAGGCTTCAACCCCAAAATCCCAGAACCAACATTTTTTATAAACTCTCCGATTGATTATGATATAGGTGGTCTAAGGAGAACACTTAGAAATAGACTATGGTGGCTGGGTGCCGGGCTCACGCTTGTAATCCCAGCACTCTGGGAGGGAGGCCGAGGTAGGTGAATCACCTGACATCAGGAGTTCAAGACCAGCCTGACCAACATGGTGAAATCCCGTCTCCACTAAAAATACAAAATTAGCTGGGCATATTGGCACATGCCTGTAATCCCAGCTACTCAGGAGGCCGAGGCAGGAGAATTGCTTGAATCTGGGAGGCGAGGTTGCAGTGAACCAAGATAGCATCATGTACTCCAGCCTGGGCAACAAGAGTGAATCTCCATCTCGAAACAACAACAAAAATTATATATATATAAAAAAAACCACTATGGTAAAAGATATCACCAGATAATGTCATTAGAAAGAAAAAGAGACAATAGTGTGGTGTCAGTATAAGGTGTTACTTTTAGGGGAAAAATCTCCCAAACAACATTTCTGAGATAATGTGTTGTTTAAGCTATTAGGTACAATATGGGGCCTTGATATAATTTCTAAATAGCTCACCAGAACAGGTATCAGCCCAAAGTGCTGGCCACTATGTATCAACAGCTGATAGTCCCATAACACTGCATGATCAGTTCTAATGCTTGTTTGTTTTTAGACAGACCATCCAATTTCTTTACATCCTGAATGTCTTTACATCCAGGAAGTAGAAAATGGGACATACATATTAAGAGACAAATAACCACATGAAGGAGCGACTGTCTACCAAATAACTTACTCTGCCCACATTTCAGTGCCCCAGCACACTTAGGTAGAGCCATGTTCTGACTGGTAGATTGTGAGCAGAGATGATATGTGCCACTTGTTAAAAGAAACATTTAAGGAGCTGATGTGAAAAAACCTTCCAGCATTTTCTCTTTTCCCTTCTATGACAATCTTAGAAGCCACAGGTTGAGATGGAAAAACACAGATACAAGCAGACAGGATCCGTGGACAGGATCCTTGGAAAGGAGCTGCCCTGGAGAGCTGCTGGATCCACAGTGGACTTTACAGGAGAAAGGAACAAACTTTAGTGCTTAAGCTGCTGAAGTTTCGGGGATTGTTACTGTGGCAGAATCTATCCTATTCTAATACAATATTGCTATACTATAGGAAGAGCTACACAACAGAAATTATATTTTCAGGCCTGGGCATGGTGGCTCACTCCTATAATCCCAGCACTTTGGGAGACCGAGGCAGGTGGATCACAAGGTCAGGGGTTCAAGACCTGCCTGACCAATGTGGTGAAACCCTGTCTACTAAAGATACAAAAATTAGCTGGGTGTGGTGGCGTGTGCCTGCAATCCCAGCTACTCAGGAGGCTGAGGCAGGAGAATCACTTGAACCTGGGAGGCGGAGGTTGCAGTGAGCCAAGATCACGCCATTGCACTCTAGCCTGGGTGACAGAGTGAGACTCCATCTCAAAAAAAAAGAAAAGAGGCCGGGCGCAGTGGCTCACGCCTGTAATCCAAGCACTTTGGAGGCCAAAGTGGGTGGATCACCTGAGGTTGGAAGTTCAAGACCAGCCTGACCAACATGGTGAAACCCTGTCTTAAAAAAAAAAAAAAGAAAAGAAAAGAAAAGAAAGAAAATTACATTTTCAGACCCATTTCACTACCACCTACAATCGCAGATGGCATTTTGTTCTGTGGCAACAACTAGACCTTTAGGGCTAATATCCTGGTTAAGGCTGATGGATAACGTCAACCATTATTTAAAGATATTTTGATTGATTTTTTTCTGTAATAATGTGTTGCATTCCAGTTTAAAATAGCAGCTGGTTGGCAATCCCTGAGCCTACCTCTTCATCTCATCCAAGAAATAATGAGTTGGGGCTGGGTGTGGTGGCTCATGCCTGTAATTCCAGCACTTTGGGAAGCTGAGGTGGGTGGATCAGTTAAGGTTAGGGGTTGGGGACCAGCCTGGCCAACATGGTGAAAACCTGTCTCTACATAAATACAAAAATTAGCCAGGCATGGTGACACATGCCTGTAATCCCAGCTACTTGGGAGGCTGAGATGTGAGAATTGAACCCAGGGGGCAGAGGTTACAATGAGCCGAGGTCACACTACTGCACTCCAGCCTGAGTGACAGAGTGAGACTCTGTCTCAAAAACAAACAGAACAAAGAAATAATTAGTGGGAGAGAATTTCACAAAGGAAGAAGTGTCCAGTGTCATGCTTGACAGTATCGAGTGCTACAGTGAGATCAAGGAAGAGAAGAAATAGAAAAAGACCACTGTGTTTAAAGACCATTGATGTTTAAAGAAGTCACTGTATATCACCTAAGAAGTAATCACACTAAAACGAATCATGCCTGTACATCCAACTACCATTTCACAGGAAATACACAGGAAAGAGAAACCTGTTAAATGGTACCAAGGGATGTAATCAGCAAAGTCCTGATCATAGCCTAGTATCTTCACTAAACAAATTGCAAGGAAAAAGGAAGGAGGACCCATATATTGAAACTTAAGAGACCTACCAACCAATTTCAATCTATGGGCCTTAACTGGATCCTGATCCAAACAAATTAAATATTTTTAAATTATGGCATTTATGAGACAATAGGATATTTGGACACTGAATATATTAAGCAATTACTGTTAATTAAAAAAATATATTATGGAATTGTGGTTATGTTAATAAAATAATCCTTATCTATCAGAGGTATATATGATATATTTAGAGATGAAATAATATGATGTCTGGAATTTGCTTTAAAATAATCCCGGGGAGGGGGAGGGGTAATGATGAAACAAGTTAGCCAGGTGTTGATTATTATTGAAGCTAAGTGGATGAGTACATCTGGTTTCATTATACTACTGTTTGGAAATTTACCTAATAAGTTTTTCTTTTTTAAAAAATGTGAAATATGGGTTACTACTGGAGTTGGGGTTTACCAGTGGAGTTGGAATATTCAGGGAAGAGCATATTGGAGGCTTCAAATATAAAGATAATATTTTATGTCTTAAATGGAGTTAAAGAACACAAGTATTTGTGGTATTTTGTTCTATGTAGTCAACACATTTTCTATAAAAATATCATTGCATTTACTCAGTATTTATAAAACTCTAAAGGAATAAGGGATGTAGAGAGGAAAGGAGGAAAGGAAAAAGGAAGGAAGGAGAGGGAAGAGAAGGGAAGGAGGGAGGGGGGAAGGGAAAGGAAAGGAGAGGGAAGAATCATAAACATAAGATTCAGAATAAAGTGGTTTACTCTGGAGCCAGGAGGGCAGTGAAGAATGGGGATTAGGATTTGGATCATTTTGATAATCCCATTTACTTTTGATGGGTACTTGAAGTTCAAGAGTGCGGGGTGGGCCAGCTGCAGTGACTCACACCTGTAATGCCAGCACTTTGGGAGGCCAAGGCTGGCTGATTGCTTGAGCCCAGGAGCTTGAGACCAGCCTGGGCAATATGGAGAAACCCTGTCTATACTAAAAACAGAAAAATCAGCTGGGCGTGGTGGCACATGCCTGCAGTCCCAGCTACTTGGAGGCTGAGGTTGGAGGACTGATTGAACCTAGGGCTGGGGGACAGGCATCCCAGGCTCCAGTGAGCCAACATGGTGGCACTGCACTCCAGCCTGGGCCACAGAGCAAGACCCTGTCTTTGAAAAAAAAAAAAAGAAAAAGTGCAAGGTACAGGACTCCTCACATATTCCCATATCAATGACCACTCTCCCAGCTCACCTACTATGGCTTTCCACGTATTTTTCTACCTAGATAAATGACAGCCTGAATTCTCAAAACTATTTGTCTCTGCTGTGAGTTTAAAAGTCTATTTTAAAACTCAAAAATGAGAACAGTCTACTTATTTCTCTTTGTATTCCTGCTACAGCAATCCTATTTATTTCTGGAGCAATGGTGGCCTCCTACACAGGGATTTATATAGAAAAGTGTGTCATAAATGGTCCGTTAGTACTCAGCAACTTTTGAGAGTCTTTCAATAAATCTTTTATGAGTAGGTTGGGGCAAAGAACTCACCAAGCTGCAAACCAAGGGGATATAGATACACAGGTAGATATATATTCATTTCAATAGCCCTTAATTAAATAAGCTATAAAATAAAAACATGCACTTTAGGCTGAGGTCTATGAGATGTTTTCCTTGTGGAGAATATAAAGTACAATTTAAATGTGTATGCCAGGCAGCATCTAATTGGAACATAAATTCTTTTCTTCAGACTTCAATGGAGGTTTCTATTAATAAGTATCTGAGAGAACTTATCTGATGACTTAAATGTCACATTTGCATTTTATGAAATTCAGAGAAAAAAGAAAATGTGGATCAGCATCTGTTGTGAGTTCTCTGCCAAAGCATGCAGCCTGCCAACTGTCCCCTTCACTTTTCTGTCTTCCTGGCTCCACTGGGGGAACATGGTGACTCTACAGGGCTGCCCCCAGCTACAGAACGCAGGGCCTATAGAATCACGACTCGAGAGTTTTTCAGGGACGGCACATTCAAGATCCAGAAGGAAACATCACCGTATTTCTTTCTCCCAAAGCATTTGTCCACCGTCCTCTCTGATAGAGACCTCTTGTTGCCGAGGAAGACTCCATTAAAAAAGCACTGCTTTCCAACGTGGTAGGTGTGGATATTGCTGCTAAGCCTTGGGTAAAATGTCCACTCAGGACGATGCCCATCTTCTGTAAGACACCAGAAAGCCTTCCATTATTGCTGCTCCCAGGCTCGTAATGCAACTGGATGACAAAAAGCTGTGAAAATTCCCCAGGCACTACCTGGCTATACAACCTTTACTTAATGTGTATAATCCCTTGGTTCTACATCAGAGACAGTGTGGAACTCTGTGGGACTTGACACAAAAGGAAGGGAAGTAGTGGGAGAACTATCTAAGAGGCCTTTTTTGCTTTTGTTTGTTTGCCCTCTTCACCCTCTCCTTCAAAAATAAAGCCAACTTTATGTTTGGAAGTTAAGTGTTTATTGGGAAACTCAGAGACAGTCTTACAGGCACCTGTGATGCAATCTTCACTCTGATGAGTGTGTAGGAAAAATAGAATGCCATCAACCAGCAAATGGCTAGGCCAGTGCCATCCACACGGTACCTCAAGTGGATGAAACATGGTGTTGGCTGCAGCAATAGGACACACATGCGCAACAGTGACACCAGGAAATGTACCCATGATCATTTCAAATGAGAAAAGCTGCCGTGAGACCTCAGGCTAGTTTCTGGGCCTTGCAGTGCCTTTGTTTCATCGTCTGATACTTTTCCTGTATTGCTAACAGTGACTTTAAACAACAAAAGATCTCCTAGCAGCTCAAGGGATGCTGGAGAAATGTGGGCACTGGGATAGCCAAGAAGAGCACAGGCTTTGAGACAAGCAAGTTTGTGTTCTGATCCCATCGCTATACTCCCTGGCCATGTAGCTTTATGGAGGACTGAATGTCTCAAAGCCTCAGTTTCCTCCTCTGTAAAATGGGTATGTCTATATTAGCCACATGGATCTATCTGTATTGACACAGAAAGAGGTCCATGATCTATTTATACCAGTTTGTATATTAACCCATTTGTTTAATATCTATATGTGTACACATGTGTATATAACACACACACATTTCAAAATACTGTAAAAATATATATCAACTCTTCACAGCTATGGGGCAGAATAGGGATATTGCTTGAGAATATTGGGGAAGGGGTTTTTATACTCTATATACTTCTATATTATTTTAATGTCTTGCTGCAGTATTTTAATGGGTTTTATATAAAGGCCTGTCATTTTTGAAAAACATATAATAGCTTCCTGGGAGAAGAACTGTGAATTTTGAGATAAAGCATGTCAAATGCCTGGCAGTTGTGGGTCTTCAGTGATGGTGGCCAACAGTATGGCAGACTTCTGAAAAGACCTGGGGCACAGAGGCCTGTGGAGGAGGGCCTGTGACTTACTTGTCTGCAACTTAAGCAGGCTGAATTCCTCAGGATACTTATGCTTCTGGACTGCAGGCAATGATGTTTCAGAGGAGTGCTCAGAATGTGAGGAGGAGGATTTCCGATCCAAGTCAGCAGTACTGCTGGAAAGAAAGCAGAAGGACTGGATTCTTCCACATGCTTAAACTGGTAGTTAGAGCCTGATCTCACTTAGTTCACCCTAGAATTGCCCTCACTTATGAGAACTGGGACTGCTCCACTATAAAAGTCCCTGAGCATATCATTTATTTACTCACAATTTGAGGGGTAAATAAATGAAACTTATTCAAAAGATTGGTATTCAGTAGCTCACACCTGTAATCCCAAAACCTTAGGAGTCTGAGGCAGGTGGAACGCTTGAGGCCAGGAGTTTGAGACCAGCCTGGGCAACATAGTGAGATCTCATCTCTACTAATTTTTTTTAAAGGATGTTTAAAAATAATTTGGTGGTTCCTCAAAAAGTTGAATATAGAATTACCATAAGACTTGGCAATTCCCTTTCTAGGTATATACCTAAAAGAACTAAAAACAGAGACTCAAACAGAAACTTGCATGTAAGTGTTCTTTGCAGCATTATTTATAATAGGCAAAAAGTGGAAACAACCCAAATGTCTATCAAGAGAAGAATGAATAAGCAAAATGTGGTACATAATACATTCCATGGAATATTATTCAGCTTAGAAAGGAATGAAGTGGCCTGAGCAAAAAAGTGAGCCCTCATCTCTGTTTAAAAAAATTTAATTAGCTAGGTATGGTGGTGCATGGCTGTAGATCTAGCTACTTGGGAGGCTGACGTGGGAGGATCACTTGAGCCCAGGAAGTGGAGGCTGCAGTGAGCAGTGATTGTGCCACTGCACTCCAGCCTGGGCTACAGAGTGAGAGCCCATCTCTTTAAAAAAATGTTTTTAATAGCTAAAATGGCAAATGTTGTGCCATATATATTTTACCACAATTTTTAGAAAGGAATTATATATGTTATAACATGTATGCACCTTAAAAGCATTACACTAAGTGAAAGAGGCCAGACACCAAAGACCACATATTGATAATTCCATTAATATTCTATATCTGAAATAGGCAGATCTCTAGAGACAAAAAGTAGATTATGGTTGTCTCTGACTAGAGGGATAGGAAGACAAGGGTGTGGGGGGATGATTGCTAAAGGATATGGATTTCTTTTTGTGGTGATGAGAATGTTCTAAAATCGATTGTTGTGATAGTTGCACAACTTTATGAATACACTAAAAACCACTGAGTTGTATGTACACTTTAAATGGGTGAGTTATATGGTATGTGAATTATGTTTAAATGACTTTGTTGGGCTGGGCATGGTGGCTCACGCCTGTAATCCAAGCACTTTGGAGGCCAAGGTGGGCGGATCACCCGAGGTCAGGAGTTTAAGACCAGCCTGACAAACATGGTGAAATGACAAGAAGAAAACTTAAATGCATATTATTAAGTAAGAGAACCCAATCTGAAAAGGGTATATACTATACAATTTCAACTATATGTCATTCTGGAAAAGAAAAAACTATGGAGACAGTAAAAATATCTGTGGTTGCCAGGGGGTGGGAGGGGTGGGAGGGGTGGGAAGGGATGAAGAGATGGAACACACAGGATTTTTAGGGCAGTGAAACTACTCTGTATGATACCATAATATGCTGGGAGCAGTGGCTCATGCCTGTAATCCCAGCGCTTTAGGAGGCTGTGGTAGGTGGATCACTTGAGTCCAGGAGTTTGAAACTGGCCTGGGTAACATAGTAAGACCATGTATCTACAAAAAAAAAATTAAAAGTTAGCTGAGCATGGTCGCACACACCTGTGGTCCCACCTACTCAGGAGGATGAGACAGGGGAACTGCTTTAGCCTGCAAGGTCAGGGCTGCAGTGAGACATGATTATGCCACTGCCGTGGTGAGCCATGATCATTCCACTGCCTTTCTCAAAAATAAATCAATAAATAAAAATGGAAAAGGTACTATAATGATGGATACATGCCCTTTTACATTTGTCCAAACCCATAGACTGTGCAACACCAAAAGTGAACCCTATTGTAAAATAGGGATTTTGGGTGATGACGATGTATCCATGTAGGTTCATCCATGGTAACAAATGTCCCACGCTGGTGCAGGATGTGATAGTTGGGGAGGCTGTACATGCGTCAGGGCAGGAAGTACATAGGAACTTTGTACCTTCCTCTTAATTTTTCTGTGAACCCAAAACTGCTCTGAAAAAGTAAAACCCTTAATAAATCTTTTTAAAGGGCAGGTTTTATGAAAGAGTAGTATAATATGATCTTAATTGTAAAATACTTTATGTGCAAGAAAAAATTAAAATTAGAAAAAAACTAATATCAAAATGTTAACACATATTCTCTAAGATGTAAAATTTACATCTTAGAGAATTTATTTTGACTTATCTATTTATTTATTTTGACACAAGTTCTTGATTTATCTATTTATCTTGATTTATTTATTTATTTATTTTGACACTAGTTCTCACTCTGTCACCCTGGCTGGAGTACAGTGGCTCAATCATACAGGTCACTGCAGCCTGGAACTCTTGGGTTCAAGTGATCTGCCCACCACCTCAGCGTCCTGAGGAGCTAGGATTACCGGTGCACACCCACATGCCTGGCTAAGTTTTATATTTTTTTTTTGTAGAGAGGGGTCTCACTGTGGTGCCCTAGCTGGCCTCGACCTCCTGGTCCACCTCAGCCTCCCAAAGTGCTGGGATTACAGGTATGAGCCACCACGCCTGGCCATGTGACTTTTATTGTTAATACTTTTATTTTTAAAAAGCCTTCATCTTTTCAAATTTTCTACAATAAACTTAAATTACTTTCATTGTAACAAAAATTACTGGAAAAACATTTTCAAAACTTTTTATTGTAAAAGAAATATAAACAGAGAAAGTACATAAAACACAAAGACAGTTTTACAACTAATTACAAAGCCAACGACCTGGTCAAGAAACAAAATGTTAGCCTAGCACAGTGACTCACACCTATAATCCCAGCACTTTGAGACACCAAGGCGGGAAGATCGATTGAGCCCAGGAGTTCAAGGTTAAAATGAGCCAAGGTAACACCACCTACTCCAGCCTGGGTGACACAGCAAGACCCCTCTCTCTACCCAAACAAAAACAAAACATGGCCAGTCCTTCCCTTCCCCACTCCCCAGAAACCATCTGTGTGTGTCCACCTCTGGGAGCAGTAACCACTCTCCTAATTGTGACTCTTACAATAATCATTTCTTTGCTTTTCTTTAAGTTCTACCACCCGTGTATGTATGTATGTATCCTAAAAATATATAGTTTCACTTATTTTTCAACTTTATAATAGCAAACACACAGAACTTACTGTGTGCCAGGAAGTCTTCTGATCTCTTTCCAGGTATTAACTCAATTAATCCTCACAACAATCCTATAAACTATTGTCACCATTTTACAGATAAGAACACTGAAGCCCAGGGGGGGAAGTAATTTGCTCAGATTCACACAGATATGAAGTGGCAGAACCAGGATTTGAACCCACACAGTCTAGCTCCAGAATCCATGCTCTTGCCAAGCATACTATGCTACCTCTCAGACTGTTGGCTTCTTGGTCAGGATCTCCCCCAACAGTGACAGCTCTGCACCAGGCCCTTACTTACTCTAGGTAAGCAGACACTCTGGGGAGGCCTGGAGACTCACTGATGCTTGGGCCTGTTTCAACAGAAGAAGAGGAACTGACACTTTTGTGAGAGGATGTTGTGTTCGCAAAACATTCCTTAGATTCCAGAAAATCACTGCAGCTAGCACCTGCAACACAGAGATATCATATTTAATTACATTATTGAAAATACATTCCACCCTATTTTATTTCCTAGATTATAAAAAAATTTTTTAAACAGCTAACATGTATTGAGCATTTAATGTGCACTGAGGATTATGTCAACACCTTACACACGTTATCCCATTTAATCCCTATAACAACCCACAGGCATAGGTATTCCTTATTATCCCCATTTTATGGTTGAGAAAACTGAGGCTGAGAAGGTTAAGAAACTTGCCTATGATCACATAAAAAGTAAACATCTAGGCCAGGTACAGTGGCTCACGCCTGTAATCTCAGCATTTGGGAGGCCGAGGTGGATGGATCGCTTGAGGTCAGGAGTTCGAGACCAGCCTGGCCGACATGGTGAAACCCCATCTCTACAAAAATATAAAAGCTAGCTGGGCATGCTGGTGCACTCTTGTAATTCTAGCTATTTGGGAGGCTGAGGTGGGAGGATTGCTTGGACCCAGGAGGTGGAGGTTGTAGTGAGCTGAGATTGCACCACTGCACTTCAGCCTCGGCGACCAGAGACTTTGTCTCAGAAAAAAAAAAGAAAAAAATCTGGGCCCATATTTGATTCCAGGTCTTGTGACACTAAAGCCTGAGATCCTAACCCCTCTACTAGACTGCTTGCCCCTACACATAGTTCACCTACTCTGAACTAAGTGGAAGACCTAGGATCTGAAGTGAGCTGTATAGCAGTATCTGTTGTATTAAGCATCTCAATAAAAGTATTTGTTCACAGAAAGACTGATGAATATAATGGTAATCACAACTCAAAGAACACCCTCAGAAATTTTGTGGGTTTCCTTCACACTTCTTATTCATGATAGCAGCATCCGTAACAGTGCCTGGCGCAAAGCAGGTGCTCAATAAATGTTTGCTTGAACAAGTGAAAAAGAATTATAACTCCCCAACCACCCACAGTTACAAGTAAGGGAGTCCTGAAAACCAGTGAGTGTCAGACAGAGAAGAGCACCCATTATCTTCACTCTGCTATACTATTAATACTTCATGAAAGTCAATCTGTTCTCTTATCATTTTATATAGTTACATGCCTCATCCAGCCACAAAAATAAAAAATCAGATGAGAGGATTATGCATATTTCTTTATGCATAAATTTCATAGAGCACTGAAGCTCAATAGATGGCAATGTAACCTCTGGTAATGAGAAAATTGTAAGAAATAAGAGTCAAACTTGTCTGATTCTTGAGTACATTTTTAGACTGACTACTAGTCCACCTACACAGTATCATGCTTCACACATATAGAACCATCTTTTGGTATCGAAGGGGGATTGGTTCCAGGACCCTTGAAATACAAAAGTCTGAGGATCCTCAAATCCCTTATATGAAACAGTGTAGTATTTGAATATAACATATGCACATCCTTCTGTATATAACATATGCACATACTGTACTGTAAATCATCTCCAGATTACTTGTAATACCTAATATACAATGCAAATGCTATGTAAATAGTTGTTATATTTTTATTTGTATTATTTCTGTTGTTATACTTTGTTTTCTTTTCTTTCTTTTTTTTTTTTTTTTTTTTTTTTTTTGTGAAGGAGTCTCACTCTGTCACCCAGGCTGCAGTGTAGTGGTGCCATCTCAGCTCACTGCAACCTCCGTCCTCCGGGTTCAAGTGATTCCCATGCCTCAGCCTCCCGAGTAGCTGGTATTACAGGCACCTGCTACCATGCCTGGCTAATTTTTGTATTTTTAGTAGAGACGGGGTTTCACCATCTTGGCCAGACTGGTCTCGAACTCCCGGCCTCAAGCAATCCACTTGCCTCGGCTTCCCAAAGTGCTGGGATTACAGGTGTGAGCCACTGCACCCGGCCTTGTTGTTTCCTTTTTGAATATTTACTATGGGCTTGAATCTGCCCGTAGTAAATATTCTGCCCAGTTGGTTGAATCTGCCGATGCAGAGCCCACTGATAGGACTGTAGAGTAGAAACTATGCAAATTCCTACCACCTGTCAGCAGGACTGCTACTCAGACAATTTTTTATTCATTTCCTCTCAAATTCATATCACAAGTGAATAATATCTTTTCCACTCTCTGTCACCAAACCTTTCACTCCTAAGAGGACTTTGCCTGTGACTCTACAAAGCTTAAAGTTCAGCTGAGCTACTTCCTCCCTTCAAAATCCTCCCACTCTGAGTTTCTCAGGACATGGCACAAGGCCTATCTGCATCAGAATTACCTGGGAAGCCTGTTAAAAATACAGATTTCTGAATTCCATCGCAGACCCATTGAATTAGAATCTCTCCAAGTGAGGCCTGGGAACCTGCATTTTAAATAGGTCTCCCCCACCCCCCGTCCTTACCCCTGCTCTTCATTTAGGCTCATGTCTGGCAGTGATCTCCTTCTTGAGGTCTAGTTGCATCACTGCACTATATTTTATCCTGTTCCACTTCCAGATTCCCAGCTACACAGAACTTCCTGAATATCCCCAGTCATGAGAATCCCCTTGGGGTGCTTGTTCAACATGCAGGCTGCAGGGCTCTTACTCAGACCTACAGTCTGGGAGCCATGATATTTAAGAAGCACCTCAGGTGACTGTTAGGGCCTGCCAAGTGTGGGAAGTGCTGCTCTGGAATATGCCCCAGAGCCTAGAGCAGCCCCCAGCACAGTGAGGGCCAACTGGTTACTTGAAGTGTAGCTGGGATGGAGTCAAGCCCAGGGGAGATGGCAGGAAAGCAGCAAAGCTGTGAGGACGAGGGGACAGGTCCCCAGCAGCCTAGGGAAGAACCACCCATATACTAAGCCACAAAAGAAGTATCAGCAATACATAGACCACACTCTGACCACAATGCAGTACAAATTAGAAATCAATAATAAAAAGACAGCCAAAAAGTATTCATAAGCTTGGAAATTCAAACCATACTTCTTAATAATTCACCTACAAGAAGAAATTGTAATGGAAATCATGAGGTGCTTAATGATCGATGACATTAAGTACTGTATATCAAAACTTGTGGGATTCAACTAAAGCAGTAATTAGAAATCTGGAGCCTTAAATGCATATGCTGTATTTCACTGAATATGAGACACCATCAATGGTACAAGCATTGTTATTTTACGTACCACAAAGAACAAAGGCTGCCAATTAAAGTATGACACATGCTTTCATCCCTTAGAATTTTTATTTTATACTTATTGAAGCATTCTTTTGGATTTACTTAGACATAGATTTTAATCACATATCACTCATGTGCATATGTGAAGAAGGAAAATATAGGCAAAATAGACTGGCTAAGGCATTCCTAAATCTTATGCACATTCGGAAGTCTGACTACTAAATCACTTTCAACTCAATCACTGATGTCCACATTTTCCACCTAATACTGACCTAATAATTCAATAAGAATGATGCAGCTTTTTTTTTTTTTTTGAGTGGGAGTCTGGCTTTGTCGCTCAGGCTGGAGTACAATGGCCCTATCTCGGCTCACTGCAACCTCTGCCTCTCGGGTTCAAGCAATTCCTGCTTCAGCCTCCTGAGTAGCAGGGATTACCGGCACTCACCACCACAACTGGCTAATTTTTGTATTTTTAGTAGAGATGGGGTTTCACCATGTTGGTCAGGCTGGTCTTGGAACTCCTGACCTCATGATCCACCTGCCTTGGCCTCCCAAAGTACTGGGATTACAGGCATGAGTCACTGCACCCAGCCCCACATTTCTTAAATGAGTGCTTCTCTATTGTCTCTGGAGTTTTCTTCCAAGCTATGAACATACATTCTACTTGCTTCAGCACTCATACAGCAAAAATTATTACAACTACCTCATGGCTGCTGCTGGGCTCACAGACCTGGTAACATGCAGTCCCTACTTGAAAGATGCAAACTGCCCATCTAACAATTGACAGGTTATAGTGTTCAAAATCAAAAATTCCAAAATGAATGAACTAAGCTTTCAATTTAAGAAATAAGAAAAAAAAAAAAAAAGAGTAAACCCCCCCAAAATTTTAAGGAATGAAATCATAAAAGCAGAAATGAATGAAATAAAGATTATCAGAACTATGGCTTCATACAAAAGCTAACTAATGTAGATAAACAAGGCTCAGGAAAAGATTTTAAACACAAATAAATAATACTAGGGCGGCCTGTAATCCCAGCACTTTGGGAGGCCAAGGCTGGCAGATCACCTGAGGTCAGGAGTTCAAGACCAGCCTGGCCAACATGGGTGAAATCCCGTCTCTACCAAAAATACAAAAATTAGCCAGGGCATGGTGTCACACACCTGTAATCCCAGTTACTCAGGAGGCGGAGACAGGAGAATCCCTTGATTCCAAGAAGTGGAGGTTGCAGTGAGCTGAGATCACGCCACACTGCACTCCAGCCTAGGCAACTGAGTAAGACTCAGTCTCAAAAATACTACTACTACTAATATTATTATTAAAAACGAAAAGAAGGCCATAATTATAAACAAAATAGAGATAACTTTACAGATAAAGAAATTAAGCTCCAGAAATGTCAAATAACTTGTTCAGGGTTACATAACTATGGAGTATAATTTTTTTTTGAGACGGAGTTTCACTCTTGTTACCCAGGCTGGAGTGCAATGGCGCGATCTCAGCTCACCGCAACCTCCGCCTCCTGGGTTCAGGCAATTCTCCTGCCTCAGCCTCCTGAGTAGCTGGGATTACAGGCACACACCACCATGCCCAGCTAATTTTTTGTATTTTTAGTAGAGACGGGGTTTCACCATGTTGACCAGGATGGTCTCGATCTCTCGACCTCGTGATCCACCCGCCTCGGCCTCCCAAAGTGCTGGGATTACAGGCTTGAGCCACCGCGCCCGGCCAACTATGGAGTATAACTTATAAAATGTAGTCTAATATTCAAATAATCAAGATGGTACTGACAAAAACCCTAACAGATAAATCAATAGGACAAAATTGTAAACATAAATAGAATAAAATTTTATATGAAAACAAGTGGCATTTTATCTTTGTGAAGAAAAGATAGGTTGTT